CAGGCCGCAGCTCGGTGGGTGCTGACTCCTTGCTTTGAGCGCTCGGGGTTGTCGGGGGAGCCGCCGGGAGGGGGGTCCGTGGCGGTGGAGCGGCGGTGTGTGGGGCCGCTCGGCCCGCGCCTTGGGCAGCCGCGCCTGGGGGCTTGTTACGCGGGAATTTTTCTGCGTACGAATTGAAATCGGTCCAGAACAGGCCTGCGTGGACATACTGGGTCTTTTTAACAAACCGCTTGTAGAACTGGGTGTTTCCATGTTACTTAGCATGCTTTTTTTAAAAAAACAAATAAAGGATTTGTTTTATCTACAAAGGGAGAGCTGAAACAATAAAACCCAACTTAAAGTCTGTTGGTCTCCATGTCGAGTTCCTGTGTGATATTGCAGCCCTTCTCTCAGAAGGACCTCTTGCCTCTGTGAAGGTGGCTGTTTTTAAGAAGCTTTAAAGAACTTTCTTAAATTCCTGTAGCTTAACAGTATTTCTGTCCTTTTTGCTGTATGTGTCTTATTTTCTGTTCTACAGTATTTCTGGGCCAAATGGAAAAGTCCTGTGAGGAGTGTTGGTGATAGAAAGGCTGGATGATGCCCACCATTTTAAGTCGTAGAAGAAGATGCTGAAGTGTTGAACATATTGGTTAGTTCTTTGTTTATATTAATGAACAGTATTTTAACTGTTTAGTCCCATGCCGCGGTTTGAGCCCAGAGGGCAACTGAGCACCCCACAGCCACTCACTCAATTCCTTCCGCCTCAGGAATAGGAAGGAGAAAATACAAGGAAAAACTTAGGAATCAAGATAAGGACAGGGAGGGATGATCCATCCCAAAAGACAGGCTCATCAGGGGAAGAAAAAGAACATCACTAATTCAAACACATCCAACAACAACACTTAACAGAGTAGGACAGTAAAAAGCATTACCACATCTTAAAAACACTTTCCTCCCCACACCTCCCTTCTTGTAGGGCTCAGCTTTGCTCCCAATTTTTCTACCTCCTCAAGGCAGGTAGCGGATGGGAGGATGCAGTCAGTCCTGCTGCTCCTTCCTCATGGGGAGGACTCCTCACATTCTCCCCCTGCTCTAGTGTAGGGTCTCTCTCAGAGGACTGTCCTCCACAAACTTTCTCTAACATGAGTCCTTCCCATGGGCTGCAAACTCTTCCTGAGTTGCTCCAGTGTGGGTCCCTCCCATGTGTTGCTGTTCTCCCAGCACCAAACTACAACAGCAGGGGCTTCTTCCCAGCCTCCTTCAGGCACAGCCCCCTGCCCTGGTGTTGGGTCCCCCACAGGCTATAGGTGCTCTGCTCTCCTGGTGACCCCCATGGGTGCAGAGCACAGCCTGTCCTCTCACCATGGGCTGCAGGGGGTCTCTGCTCCAGCAGACCTCCTCCCTTCCTCCTCCTTATTTCTCCCGCTGCCCTCAGTGTTTGCATAGGTATCTCCTTCACAACTCCCACTCTTCCTCCCAGTTTCCCCTTAAATATGTTATCAGTGAGACACAACTACCATCGCTCATTGGCTCAGCCTTGGCCAGAGTTGGGTCCATCTTGGAGCTGGGGGAGCTTTGAGAAGCTTCTCGCAGGGGCACTGCTGTAACCCCCTCCCTAGCTACCAGAAACCCCGCCACACACAAACCCAACAGACTCCAGCTTAAGCAAGTGAATGAGGAAGAATCTCCTCTCCTCTGATGCATATGGATGTTGTATTTCACCTTCAGAACATGCTGTAAGCAAGTCTGTCCCGGAAGCAGCTTTTGAAGGTTGTGCATATACTGAAAAAGTGACTGAATGGAAGATTAAGGTAATTGGTAATGTATCCACCAAATGTGAGCATAGCTTATCACTAATAGAGAGTAAATGCTGGAAGAACTGTCACCTTTCTCCCCTTTCCTTACCACTTCCTTGTTATCCCCAAAGCACCTATTGCAGCTCATGGGAAAGTGTGACAGGAAAACCTGCTACAATTTCTCTGTGACTTCTGGTAAGACCTGTGTCTTCCTCTGAAAGCTGAGAATCTCCCAGATTGTGAGCAAAAGTAACCACTTAAGCAAACTTCTTAAATCCACTGACATTTTCATAAAGTAGCTGTAAAACTGAGCATTTTCTATTTTCTTTTATAGTCATTATGGGAAGTAAAATATATGTTTCTTTCTGCTTTCAGGTACTGATACTGTGCCAGTCTTGTTCCTCTACTTCGAGTCAATATGTCAAAGAAATTGGAGGCTCCGCTCTCCTTGTCCGACTGCCTCTGCCAAATTTGCATGGAGATCTTTGTGGAGCCTGTGACGCTGCCTTGCAACCATACCCTCTGTAATTCTTGTTTCCAGCTGACAGTTGAGAAGGCCAGTCTTTGTTGCCCTTTTTGTCGGCGTCGAGTCTCTTCCTGGGCACGATACAATGCCCGCAGAAATACTCTTATCAACTGGGAACTCTGGGAGAAGATTCAGAAGAACTACCCAAAGGAGTGTGAGTGCAGAATTAATGGAGAGGATTTGGAACAGGAAAGTAAGTAAAATGTCACTTGTCCCAGGATGTCTCTGCTTTACCAAAGTAGTTACTGTTGGTGGACTTTGGATGTTGTGAAACAAGAAACGGTGCGTAAACAGGCTGTGTTACTGCTAGGAAACAGTGTCAGAACCCTCCTGTGAAGGGGTCTTGCAAGGCAGAGAAATGGCCATCCGTGCCTTTTTTCTTTTTTAGTACAGAGGGTAGGTTATGTTGCCTGATCACCGACATGGGTGTTGGTTCCTGCGTCTTGCACAAATCATTGCTGTATGGCTGCTTGGCCTTGCAAAGGCAGGAATTCACCACCGATACAACTTCAGCTGTAAAATCTCTCAGTGGAGTATTTGCGTGTGTGTGTGTGTGTGTTTATCACTGTCAAGTAAATGAAGTGGTTAAAAGTTTTTCAACTCTTAGATGCTGTTCATTGGTTAGGTTAGAAATGCCAGGGCTTCAATCTGTGCGAGAGTCTCTGAGCCTAAAATTGTGGTGTCAGATAAAGAAAGTGAAATCTGGTTGACTCTTTGAAGAAGGATTTTGGGGTTTATTATGTTGTAAGGTCCCTTAGGAGAGGCTAATTGGTAGGTTGGCTCTATGACACCTTCCACTTGCAGTATTATGAACTCTGTAATCACAAAAAGTGAAAGGTGTAAGTTATGGTCAGTGTACATATTTGCCATATATACAGTGCTTGAAAAACACTGACTGTTCTGGACACTCTGCTTTTTTACTTTGTTTCATTGTAACACAAAGTGATTTTTTTTCACAGCACTTGATTTAAATCAAATCATTCCTGTGACAGGGTATGGTAGTCAAATTCTTTGAAATCTTTTGTTGTTGACTGTCCTGATCTTTCTTTGTTCCTCACTTTTTTTTTTTTCTCCCCTTCCTCTCAATTAGTCTGTGTCCCCCATCCGCAACACCAGCTGAGCAAGCCTGGGGAACTGAGGCAGGAATATGAAGCAGAGATTAGCAAGGTAAGTCTGAAAATATATTGAAAAGTATAGATGCTTTGTATCTAGTTATTTTACCACAACCAGCTGTAATGTTACTTAATGAAAAAGAGAGATACCTAAAAGGCATTGCTGGTGCAAGAACACACTGGTCATTCCTGAAGCATGAATTAAGCTTGTATCCCTTATGGAAGGGGAGAGACTTCTTTGTGTTTGACATGAGGTGACATTTTTCAAGTTGTCTTGTGCTGGTAGATCTATACCTCCTACTTCACCCCCTCAGTCTTCCAGTAATATGCTGTCTTGTTGTCCCTTTGAGTAGGTGTGCTTCGCAGGCGTCCTAGTTTCATCTGGGATAATTTTTTCTTCTTTGTAGCTAGCGCAGTGGTGTGTGTTGAATTCAGTATGGGATTTGGTATGAGAAAAATGGTGATAATACACAGATTTACTTGTCATGTCCTGCCTGTGAGCAGATACACAAGAAGCTGGGAGGGAGCACGGCCAGAGCAACAGACCCAGCCTGGCCAATGGAATATTCCCTATCGTGCTCAATGTATTGCTGAGGGTTGACCAGGAAGCTCGCTGTCACGTTCAGGATTGTGGTTTTGGGATTCTCACCTCTCTGGGATCGCTGGCTGGGAGCAGGGTGGGCATAAGTTGGTGGGTGGTGAGCAGTCGCATTGTGCATTGCTTGTATGTATTTTTTAATATTACTATTATTATTTTAATTTTACTTTATTTCAACATTAATTCTTTTGTCTCAAGTCTCCTTACCTTTCCCCCTTCAATTCCCTCTCACTCCCCCAGGTGGAGGAAGATGAATGAGCAGCTTCATGATGTTTAGCTGCTGGCTAGGTTTAAACCATGACAGTCCTTTTTGGAGTATCCACCCCTTATTCCATTCCATTTAGGTTATGTTCCCTGTTTTCCAGTACATTCATCACCATCACTCTTCCTGTTTTTGATATATATACACAAAGATACGGTTCCTTTAGTCAGTGGGCCATCCCTCCAAATGTGTAGTGAGTTCATTCAGTCCGTACCTTTGGGTTCCACCTGTCATGAGTTTTTCAAAGCAGGAGGGGTGATGCAGAGTTGGCTCAGTTGGTGGAGTGAGTGGCTCTGGATGCAGTAGTAGGTGGTGTGTAGTCTGTGATACATTTGGAGCTTGTAGCTGGTGGCATGGTCCATGCTTGTTGTCTGTGGGTTGAAGATGTTGATCTGGATGAAATTGCTGCATGCCAGTTACTGAAACTAGTCCTGACTTCATCACAGAATCATCAAGGTTGGAAAAGACCTCGAAGATCATCTAGTCCAACCATTGAAGTTCATTTTTCATTAACCTGGGTGATTCTTAATGTGATGCCATTATATATATATATAAAATATATAGCAACTATAGTGATGACGATATGCAGTGACAGGGTTGTTTGGCAATTAATATCTTACAGTTCAATTCATTGGGTATTTTTACCACAAATCAAATCTCCTTGAGGCACACATGGGACTTCCCCATCCTTCTGCATCACCCACCAAGTGCACCCAAGTACTTGGGCAAAAGTGATCCCACGTATGGGTTTACCTTTACCCGAGGCAGGAATAACCCAGACTGTCTCTTCCCCAGTATATTCCTTATGTGCACTACAGGGGCTTTATCCCCATCTACAGTACGTAAGAGGTTTGACTGAGCAGGGCCAGGCTGGTTGGCAGATCTTTTAGTGTTGACTAACCAGGTGGTTTTCGCTAAATGCCCATCCCAGTGATTGAAATTTTCACTCCCCATTGCTCTCAGTGTTTTTAGCAGCCTATTGTAACACTCAATTTTCCCAGAGGCTGGTGCATAACAGGGGATGTTATATACCCACTCAGTGCTGTTCTTTGGCCTAAGTGTTTATGAGATTATTTTGGAAATGAGTCCCGTTATCTGACCCGATCCTTTCTGGAGTACCATGCCACTACAAGATTTGCTTTTCAAGGCCCAGAATAATTTTCTGGGTGGCGGCATGGGGCATGGCATATGTTTCCAGCCAGTGGCTGCTTCCACCATTGTGAGCATATAGCACTTGCTGCACTGAGTTTGTGAAAGTGTGATATAATTGATCTGTGAGGCCTCCTCATATCTATATTTTAACCCTTGTCCTCCATACCAAAGGGACTTTAACCGTTTGTCTTGTTTGATCACAGCACATGTTTGACGTTCATGGATTACCTGTGCAGTAGTGTCCACGGTTAAGTCCACCCCTCAGTCACAAGTCCATCTATATCTTGTATCCTTTCCCTGATGGCATGAGGAGTCATAGGCCCAGAGAGCCAGAAACTCTAGGAAACACACAGAGGCACCGACACAGCAGAATGCCCAGGCAGGTCTCTGTTAGCCAGTACCTCACATTTCCCAAAACTCTGCAGAAGAGTCCTTTTGGGGTTAGAGGGTCACCCTTTCACTATCTGCATCCCTGCCCACACATATTAAAATGCCCTTTGTAGGTCCTCAGATGCACATGAAGTATTTTGGACTAGCAAATGTAAAAATTTGGAACTGTTTGGTCTTGTACTTGCCTTCTTCATTTCCCTCCTTAAGTAACAGACCACAATTAGATGAACTTTAGTAACGAACATAGAGTATTTTCTTTCTTATTTGCTCACTCCCCGTGTTATGTGTGTTCATTTGAAAATCAGAAAAGATTTTTAGGAAAACTTAATGTTTGCCTATATGAGGATCCTTCTTCCAATTCAGACATGGTAGTAGTAAGAATTATAGCTGGAAATGGCATCGGAATGCCCCTTTCCCTGACAGGGGAACTACATAAAGGAGGGGACTATGGGATTCTCTTTTATGGCAGTTAGGGGATAAGATGGATTGGCAGCAGTAGTATCGATGCTTAATGGAGATGGTGCCCAGAAGCAGTGAAATAAGTAATGGTGTCTGGTGCCAATCATAAGACATCAATATGTGATTTGAAACAAACTCAGCTGATGTGGTATTACAGCTTGATGCTCTTCTCTAAAGCAAATTTCCAAATTCTATTACCCAATTAAGAAAGCTGTATTAATTCTTGAATTACTTTGCTGTCCTTTTGGAGTTAGTGATAACTGATTTATTAAGAGTGGACGTCTGCTGTAAGGAAGGCAGATTGAAAATTCTTGGTCTGCCACTTTGGGTTTTGCGTGTTTCAAGAGAGCAGAAGGACTCTTCTGGAAGAGAAATGTGCTGTCTTCTGGCATCTTGAGCTAATATGGGGATTATGATGATATATAAGCAGGTTGAGCAAATGCTGTGGTCTAGCTGGCATCTAGCCTTATAAAGAATGTTATTCTGAGTTTGTAGATCCGTGTGCTTGAAGATCTTAGTTTTTGTTACTAACATTTTGAAAAGGTAAGTAATGGAATTTAACCTTTCAGGCAAGCAAGGTTAATGGTACAGTCTTACATAAACTAAAAGGTTATCAAACTGACAACTCTACACACAGTATCAGTTTGATTCTTACATCTTTGGAGACTCATTGAGGTGTGTGGAGTGTCTCTGTGAGTACTGGATTGTTCACATTTAAGGAGCATCAGCTGAGAGGTTCTGGCATAAAGTGTGGTTCTACAGCAGTAACCAGATGCATTTTGAAAAAAATGTTCTTTAGGTGGAGGCAGAAAGGCGAGCACATGAACAAGAGGAGAACAAAGCAAGTGAGGAATACATCCAACGCCTGCTAGCGGAAGAGAAGGAAGAACGCGCATTGGCAGAAGAGAGACGGAGAGAGATGGAGGAACAGCTGAAGCAAGATGAAGAGTTGGCCTGGCAGCTGAGTAACAGTCTGGTGAGTTAGAATCAAGGAAGACAGTAGAAAATGTTGATATAGTGCAAGCAACTTAGACTTTTCAGAGCAAAAGTTAAAGTTTTGGATAATTTAAATTTATTTTTAGTTGGAAGCTTTTGTGAGTCCCCAGTACTTTAGATCCTTGATTGACCATTAATTTTTGAAGAACTGGCAGGACGGTGAAATACCCAAATAGTTTTACCTGTGTAATATGCACTTGAAACGTGTGCTGGATTTTTTGATTGTGAAACAGTTTAAAACATTGTTTTTCTTCTGAATAATTCCTTTTCCTCATTATTTTAAAAATACTTCTTTGGAAGAAATTGATGTCTTTAACCTGTACTGAAAAAAAGGAATGTAGGAAGAAAGTTTACCTTATGTTTTGACATTTGGTTTTTTGTTTTGTTAATTTGTTTGGGGATTTTGATTGGTGTTTGCTACCTGATAATTGTCCTAATGATGAAACCTGTGCACTTATTTGAGCAAAACCTCTTATCCCTTTATGTCAGATCCAGGAAAGTGTACAGAACATGTAATGTTTATTGTTCTGTAACTATCCATTACTTGCAGTTCTAGAATTCTTTGGACAAAAGTAACTAGTTTTGCAACAGAAACAAAGTAGTTCCCTGGGTTTTCTCCAGTTTGTGTTGTGCTTAGTTTTATATAATGCTATTTTTAACTTATCTTCAAAGAACGATGGCTCCAAAGGACATATGCTCAGCAGTCCTTCACCAGCAGGCAGTCTCTCACCTGAAACATCCCCATTTAATTTGTGCAAGACAAAGAACAAACCAAGTAACTCTGGAGACATTCAGAAGTAAGTCATTCAAGTTTTTCTTCTTTAAGTATTGGTCTGTTTCTTGGCGTAGCGTCCCTCTGATCCATTTGTTTCCTTGCAATCCTGTAGTCCTATTTCCCTGAAGAATGAGGCAAATGTAACCTGTTGAATGTTTAAACATCTCCTCAAAGGATAATGGGGAGGAGAAGGGAAACACTTGCCCTTGTCTTGTTGGTTTTGTTTGTCAGAATGAACCTGAACATCTTGATTCATGCAAAGGACTGACAAATCAAGAAAAACAAGTTTTTTAATGTATACCTTCTTTTTTTTCCTTTTAAGGTATCTGTCTCCAAAGCTTCAACATACACTGGGATCAACATCATTCTCTAGAACAGAAAGAAGCAGGAGTGACTGTGGCTTTGTGGTAACTAGAATTATTTTGTTATAAATGTCAGTGTTAGTAATTGTGGGTTATTTTCACCTTGCCTATAGGATTGACAATCCTGGATCCGCTTGCACATCAGCTTTTGGACAGTTTTTCTTGCTGGTTTTGAACTACCTGTAGTATTCATGATTCTCCAAAGTGGGAAGGGAAGAAACCGTGCTTGACAGTCTGCAGACACACACCTATAGCTTATTTTGATAGTTACCTTGTACAGCCTTACTAGCACCTTACCTGAATGTCTTCAGCGAGCTCTGCCTCACAACCAGTGGTGTATAAAACTGTGGTGGGTTGATGCGGCGGGCGGAGGAAGCAAGCAGCCGATTCAATGTGAATGATAGAGCAAGCTTCAACTTTATTGAAAGAAATCACACCTTATATAAGCACTCTACAATAATCATGCATACTACTCACAGATCTATTGGATACATGTAAAAGTTTACATTATTATATCCCAGCCCCTTGTGGCATCTCAGGCATGTCACAACATCTTCCCTCTTCTGGCCTGCTTTCTTTCCCAGGGCCGTTCCTTTATCATACACAAGGCCATAATGTACCTCAGTTTTCTCTTTGTTAACATAACAGTCCTTTGTTAGCATAACTGTACCCTGGGTTTTTTTCCTTTGTTTACCTCTGATGGCTGCAATCACCTCCTGCAGATACCCATGGCCTTGCTCTCTGCAAGCCATTCTCCAGCAGGTTGACTCTGCTGAACGCCAGGTGCCCACAAAGCTGGTTTATCACTCCCCCTCCTTCAGCTAAACAGGGGAGAGAAAATACAGTGAAAAGCTTGTGGGTGGAGATATGAACAGAGAGAGATCACTCACTAATTACTGTCACAGGCAAAACAGACTCTACTTGGGAGAAGTAACTGAATTTATTGCCAGTGAAATCAGAGTACGGTAATGAGAAATAAAACAAATCTTAAAACACCTTCCCCCCACCCCTCTCTTCTTCCCAGGCTTAGCTTTACTACTGTTTTCTTTCCCTCCTCCCCTGCAGGGGATGGGGGTTGTGATCCCTTCATCACCTGTTGTTTCTACCACTCCTTCCTCCTCAGGGGGAGGACTCCTCACACTCTTCTCCTGCTCCAGCGTGGGTTCTGTCCCACAGGAGACAGTTCTCCACGTGCTTCTCCCACGTGAGTCCTTCCCGCAGGGCTGCAGTTCCTCACAAACTGCTCCATTGTGGGTCCTTCCCATGGGGTGCAGCCCTTCAGGCACAGGCTGCTCCAGCGTGGGGTCCCCCGTGGGGTCACAAGTCCTGCCAGGGAACCTGCTCCAGCATGGGCTCCTCCATGGGCCCACAGGTCCTGCCAGGAGCATGCTCTTGCACAGGCTTCCCACAGGGTCACAGCCTCCTTCAGGCATCCCCTGCTCTGGCGTGGGGTCCTCTCCAGGCTGTAGGTGGAGATCTGCTCCCCCATTACTCACAGCTGCCTCACCATGGTCTTGACCACCGGCTGCAGGAGAATCTCTGCTCCAGCGCCTGGAGCGCCTCCTGCCCCTTCTTCACTGTCCTTGATGTCTGCAGAATTGTTGCTCTCACGTATTCTCACTCCTCTGGCTGCAATTGCTCTCCCCCAGGTTTTTTTCCCCTTTCTTAAATATGTTATCACAGAGGCACTACCACCGTTGCTGGTGGGCTTGGCCTTGGCGGTGGGTCCAGTGTGGAACTGGCTGGCGTTGGGTCTATCAGATATAGCTTCTGGCAGCTTTTCACAGAGCCACCCTGGTAGCCCCCCCGCTACCAAAACCGTGCCACATAAACCCAGTACAACATCTCAACTGATGGTTCTGGAGCTCACTGGAGGGGGAGTTGCACTCCGGTTTTCATCATTCCTCATGTCTGTCTGTCTTATCTTTCTTGTTAGGCTTCAAAAGATGAGCAGGCTTGAACAAGTTGATTTGAGTCATTGATAAAAGGAGAATGCTGCAGTTGTGTTTTCAGTCCTTTAGTTAGGCTTCTCTGGGTTATTTTAAATATTTTTTTTTAAAGAGAAGAATCCAAGTGAATATCCCAGAGTAGTTATGAGCTGTGCACTTACGAGAAGTGAGATTTGCATTTTATTCATACCTATTGGCTTTTGATAAATTCCCTTTACTAGTGGTCTCCCTCTTTTCTTCAGGAGACCAATAGCAATGAAAGTGGCAGCAGTTCTGCATGGCAAGATGACCAAGAGGAAATGCCAACACTGTCTCCCCAGCTGACCAGTGTGATTAAAGATTCCAGTGCTAAGGATTCGTTTTTGGAATCATGCATGAACTATTTCAGTGCCTTGCCTTCAGGAGAAGCCACCAGTGTCAAGCAGGAAAAATCTCCAAGACCAAATTGTCTAGGAGACGAAGTTTCAAATGGAGTCATGAAAGGGGAAGGGTCTGGAACAGTTCTTCGTAGACCCAAAGGCGAAGGAATTGAGTCAGACAGTGACAGTTTAATACATATAGAAAGCATAAACCTTGAAAACTCTGCTGAAACTTCTACCTTCTTTCAGTCAGCCACAATTTCTGTGATGTCTGACAGGAGAAGTGTAATATGTGATCTCACGAGGGTGGCTAGACACTCAGATGAAGAAAAACCAGAGAGACTGCAAAACCCTAAGGGAACTCCAAAAAGAAAGTTGCTGGAGCCACCAGCTGCAGCAGTGGTTGACTCGTGCGTGCTTGATAAGAGGAGAAGAACTTTTCCAGAAAGTTTAAAGGACCAAGGAGAGCAGATAAAGGATTTTAACTTGCAAATGCAGAAAGCCTTTGAGCAGAAGCTCTATGAAAGGCGTATGCAAGAGGAGCAGGACAGGCTTCTGGCTCTGCAGCTACAAAAACAGATCAACAAGGAGGAAAGGACCCTTAATCGACAAAAGGGCTCTCCAGATGAGTACCACCTTCGCACCAAACCACCTCAGCCTGTGAAAGACTCTCCTGCTAGAAAGGGAAGCTCTAAGATGGCAAAAGACTCAAAGGTACCAAAAAAACAGGCTGAAACAAATCACCGCAGGGCTCGGAAAGGTTCTTGCAATGAAAACTGGCAGTCCCCTACCAAAGTCCGAATGAAATCGCCCAGCATCAAGGGAGGAAAAGTTTTGAATTGTGTGGTTAATACCAGTGATGCAAATGATATTTGTTCACTACCTAAGAATAAGCAAAAGACGATCCTTCAGATGTTTAAAAGCTCCGATGCAGAGTAGATCTACATAACCACAGAAACATGGTGGAGTGAGAATTAAAACCATGATAATGCTTTCTCTTGTGTTAGGCAAAGCTTCCTGTAAACAGTTCTAAAATTGTTGGTTTTGAGGGGGATCGCTTCAAACCATAAAGTGTGGTGTATTCTGGGAAGTTTTATTAACGTACACCCCTAGACTTCAAAAAATTTGAATTGGTCTTTTCTTGACTGCAGCTTATTTTCTACCACTTGCATTTACATAATTTTGAATGTGAATACTGTTAGTGTTTAAAACCAAACATAACTGATGGTCATATCTTAAAATGATAATTTGGAGCTTTTTATGGAAAGGATGTACAGTCTGTGGGGGAAACAAAAAATAAGTCTGCATTTCCAGTTGCCTGCCAACTGCAGGGTTGAAGCTTCACTCGGCACAACCACTGTTCTGTTAAATTGAAACCCGTTACTGGGATTTAGGCTTTTTGTTGAATTGCATTGTTCACACGACAGTTACCAGTATAAGTGGATAGCCAGTCCTGCAGACACGCTTTCTCTCTCCCTCTTGTGTACTAACCCCTTCCTTGGACAGAGAGGAAGAAAACAGGTTGTTCCCCCACTGCCAAAGCCAAGGATCTTTCCTAGGTGCCAACAGTATAAGTGGTTGTGGGCTTGTATTTACCTCTGTTCATAGAGGTCAGTTCTGCAAATCTGACTCTCACTGTTAGGAAAAAGATACTTTTGTTTTCTTATTACTAGTGATCTGCAACTTCATTCTTGTACGATAATGTTACCTATATTTAGTGCTATTTAATTTTTGTATTCAAACTGGTTTGAGTCCAATTAAAAACACACTTAACATATAGATTGCCCTTAACATATAGGTAGTCTATAAGGCAGTTATAGTGGAGAAAGTTAAACCAAAAGAGGGGGAAAAACAACTGAATACTGGAGTTGTCAGTCATGACATAACTATAATTAAAGATTCACATAACTACCATGCCTGGCTGTAACTGTCGTCCCCCCCCTTTTTAGAGGGACTACTAAATACTGTCTTCCAGTTGGTTGTAAAACTAACACCATTCAGAAGAATTACAGTTTAGACATCTTGGAAAGCTGAGGCCTGTAGAAAGTTGAGGCTGATGAAGAGTTAATCAGCTACTGCTCAGCAGAGGAATTACTCTTGCTGGATTGTGTTATCTGTTGCTATTATGAAACCATCTTTTGGCCTTTCTTTGCTTGTAATGAGATAACTGTTCCACTGTACATGTTCAGAAGAGAGCAAAGCACCAATCTACATTGCAGAAGCGTGTGTGATAGTCACCAAAGTTAGCAAATGTTTTAAATGTGTACTTTTTTAAACCTCATTGATGATTTAGAGTTTTTAATTCAGTTCTGGGAAATCTGTAACAAAATACTTCAAAGCAGTATCCTCTGATGTTGTAAGTTTTAAAAAGCAAAACCTCAAATTGTATTGAAAGCATGAACAGCACACCAAGCCAAAAATGTTAATTGGTTTTTTTCTTTGCCTGCATGTCTCTGGTGATGGTGGGTTTCTCATAAATAAATGATCAGTTATAAGATGCTTTTTGAGACAGTTACAACAGGTGACCAGTTGCAAATCATTCACTTTTCCTCTTGCTGCCTCAAATGTTGTGCTGGAAGCCTTCCTTCAATATAAATCTGTTTCTGTTTAATCCTTACCATTGTTTGGGTTGTTTTGTCTTACCCATGCAGTCAAATATAATCCTTCATTAAAGTGATCTTTAAGGCAGAGATAGTGACTGTTTTAATGCTGGTGACACTTGGCCTTTCCAGTCATGATAAGCACGTAAGAACTCTCCATTTTCAAAACAGACGATGAGGAAGAGTTTATTTTTGAAGTCTGTTCAGCCTCATTTTACAATCAATTTCTGAATTCCGCTGTGGATTTTTAACCTGTTCAAAAGATGGTCCCTGCTGTGGCATGGAGCTTCTCCTTCCCAGATCATGTCTCCGGACGACTGTTGCCCTTTCTCAAGTATGTCTGAGCAGAGGCACCACATGCTCCTCTGATTTATTGCCGTTTTGGTGTAATTTGTTTAGAATTTCAGAGCAGGTTGGAAATGGTTTGGAGCAGTGCGGGGTCGTTCCTGGCCTCTTCCCACACAGGTCACCCCTGCATCCAAAACCCTGAAGCTTGTGCCCAATGCAACTGTCTCTGCAGTTTGACCCACTTGGATGGTCCTGCTGTGCTCTCGAAGGGTTTTGAATGTCTGCCCTGTTCTCAGTCACTGCCTTTAATGTCTATCACTGAAAGACTCTGAATCTCAGGTGTTTCAAACTGCTGGCCATTCATGTGTAAGAAATAATCTTGCATGTATTACTAATTCTGACCCTGCTTAATTGCTGTATGTTTCCCAGATTAACCATCACTATTCTCCAGTAGTGCTGGCTTTGGAGTGGCTCTTATGGCCAGGTCCTAATGTTTGGGACATACTTGGTGAAAGAGAAAGAATGGGAAACCTGTGTGACCATACAGGTAAATAGCCAGGTAAGCTCTAAAGAGCTGAACAGAATGAAGCTAGAAATGAAATGTCTATCTCATAACAGCTTTGATCATCATCAGGTTTAAACTTAATCTACTACTGTCATTGTTGTGAGGCTATCTCTGTCCCTGACAGTAAGTAACATTAGTCGTAAGGTAGGAGGCATTTTGTTTAAAAAAACATATGAGAGCTCACTGATTCAGCAGGATCACGCAGTCTAGCTGAGTACACCTCGCCAGCATGCAGTGAGCTGCCCCAACAGCTCCCTGCCAACAACAGGGCACCTTCACTTGTGCCAGCTGTGACACCCAGGGACTCCCCACAATCTAATTCCAGATGTTAAAGGGTTAGGGGAAGCATCAAAGGGGCAGAGGGCAAGGGAGAAGGGAGAATTTCCCTTCCAGACAGCAATGCACCTTGTGGAAGTAGCTGAGCTGTGCATGAAGCCGTGTGCCAGTATATGGGATTACTGCATTTAACACCAGTTTAATTCCCTTTTCCTCCACAAGCTGTTCTGTGGGTTCTTTATTTTCCCTTTCAATGTGTCAGTGATGTGTCTCTTCCATATAAGGTTTATGAAATGCACTAAACTAATCCCAGTTAGAGGTTTGATGGTGGGAAGGAGGAGCTTTTTGCATCTTACTCTGTCTTGCACAGACTTAATTCCTTTCCATCTTTGTGAGTCAGCACAGGAACAACCACAAAACCGTGGATGAAATGCAAAAAGTAAATTTATTCTCATTACCCCACAACCTGGGGGGTTCTGCAGCAGCACCTGGGCAGAGGTACACAAGCAGGGACGCAGGCACCACAGAGCTTGGTGCCTGCTAGCCAGAAACAGGAGAAGAAAGAAAAGGGCTTGTACCTGCTGCTTTCACCTGTATTTTTGTAGGCACAGTTTTCCACTGTGCTTTGATCTTTCCCACAGCAGGACAGGAATCTCAAGGATGTTGGATAAGGTGCCTCCAAGTTTCTCACAGGCCTGTGTTATCTGAACGCAGACATTCTACCCGTCAAGCACACAGAGCTAAACAACAATTAGTGTGATATATGTGGTTTTTGACAACCCAGCTGCAAGTCACTTAAGTGTGTTTACAATCCTTCTTGCCAATCTTCTGCTGTATTCTCATACCATCAATAGCAAATCCTGCTGCTCTGATTCCATTGAAAATAAATACAAAAATTACAGAAATTAGCCATTTCCAAGGTCTAAATAGCGTATTTTGGTGTGTGTATATATTGGAGGGTATGTTAAAGTATTTGGGCGTTATCTGTGTTTTTCCAACTTGATGGATTTTGTCCTCTGTGTAACAATGACCTCTTACATAAGAATCCTTATATTTTATAAGCAGAACTGAGAAAAAACCAAGACTAAAAGGTCAATCATTACCTAAACCCCAACCTTAACTGCAAAATATGCAAAACCTATTTATACCACCCACCTCATCCGAGGTGGGGTACTGCAAGCCCTCAGGTCCCAAAGATGATCACATTCCTCACTGCATGCATGGCAAATAATCCTTACCAGGCACCTCTTTGGCCTGTCCTTTTAGATTTTTCTTGTTAGAGGGTGCAATTTGGCCACTGCTGAGTGCATTTTGGTTGCACCAACACCCTGTTTCCATTGCTGTGATCTGGGAATTTTTAAACAGGTGAAATCAGCTTTGACTGGTTCAGTGGTGTTTGTGAAGCAAGAGTGTGTACTTGGGCTGCCTGAGCTCGTGTAACGGTTCACTGCTGCTCAAAAGGGTGAGCTCACCTTCTGCCTTCAGCTAACTCTAGCGGTTTATTTGTCCCTTTTGTGAACGAGTTCAGCTTATCCAACTGCCAGGGAAAAAAAAAAAAAGTACCAAAAACCCAAATACTTTGACAGGCTTGGTTGTTTCCCTGAGAGCCACAGCTAGTGTGGGGGTGGCAGGTAGGGAGGGGAGCACTGACCTGAGCACAGATCTACCTGTTCTCATGGCAGCAAGTTTTTAAATTCTTAGACTTCTAAGGAAACCTCTGCTTTCTGTGGTACTCACTTTGATTGATGCTTGTTAATGACAAAGCGCTCTGCAGCACTCCAGCCTGCTGACAGTGTTGGCAGCAAGCCAGGCACATGTCGTGCTATGTTCTGAAAAAAATGAAAGCAGTAAAATGTTCCTTTTCTATGCGTGCAATGTCTGCAGGGATCAAAACCAGTGTGCTTCTTGAGGGTTTTTCTCTTCTGACTTTGAAGAACCAACAATGAAAGTATTCTGAAAGCAAGGGATGCCCTGTAATAGGCTCCCTTGACAGGAGCAGCCAAACTGTTTCCTGGCCACCTCACAGAATCCCAGAATCATTCAGGTTGGAAAAGCCCCTCAGGATCATCGAGTCCAACCCTCAGCCCGACTCTACAAAATTCTCCCCTACACCACATCCCCCCACAGCTCATCCAAACAACCCTTAAACACACCCAGGGATGGGGACTCCCCCCCCTCCCTGGGCAGCCTATTCCACTCTCTGACCACTCTTTCTGTGAAAAACCTTTTCCTAATGTCCAGTCTGACCCTCCCCTGTTGCAGTTTAAAGCCATTCCCTCTTGTTCTGTCACTAATCACCTGTGAGAAGAGACCAGCACCAAGCTATCTACAATGTCCTTTCAGGGAGCTGTAGAGTGATGAGTTCTCCCCTCAGCCTCCTCCTCCTCACACTAAACACTCCTAGCTCCTTCAATCGCACCTCGTAAGATTTATTCTCCAGGCCTCAGGCCCTACGTCCTCCCTTGCAGCACCCGGGGCCCCTGAACACCCTCTACACGAGGGCCGAGGCCTGCCAGAGACCTTGCTTCGCAGTGACGAGGTCAGTCTGTGTGGAAGCTCTGGCCTCGCGAGCGTTTCAGCATCGCCGCGAAGGCCTCTGCCCCTCCAGTTAATGGCAGCGGAGGGTCTGAGACGCCGGGCAAAGGCTTCCAGCCGCGCTAGCGTTTGAACAGCCGCGGAGGGCGCTGAGGCGGCGGGGCCGCGTTGCCACGGCAACTCCCGCCTCT